GTGAACCGATGGATATTTTAATTTCATCTTTTCTAGATTAAACACTATCACTGTTTTTGACATAAAAGATTTGGGTTTCTTGGTAATTCTAAAAGATAGATTTAGCACCAAATAAGGAATTTGCATTTTCATAAAGATGGTTGGTTTGACCAAATCAAATTTATGAGTTTTCAATCTTTTTATTTGTTCTTCAAGATAAACCTTTATAAATTCTTGAATTTGTTTTCCTTTAAAAAGCATCTTTATCAAAGGATTGCCTATAATTTTAGATAATTTCATAATTTTTTAAATCTTAAGGTCACACAATATAATTTTTTAAACTAGAGGTTTCATGTTCTTAGCCTTTGTGTTGGATGAAAACAAAAGATTAAATTTTATCTATTTAAGATCCTCTTTAATGTCAAGAGTTCTTATGAGATCAATTTTTTCACTTGCTTCTTAAAGCAAATCTTGCCTCTTTGTTTCTTGAAATATTTTTCTTATTCTTAAGTATTTTTCAAAAGCTCTCTTATTTCTTTTAATTGACTTAAGATTTCTTCTTGATTTTCAAGAATTCGTAGTAGCAAAATAATTTCGGTATTTTGTTGTCCTACAATTACTTGATCTTCGATTACCATAGGTTGAAAATTTGTTAATCCATAAGAATTTTCCAATTTTTCTATTTTTTTCTAAAGCTTCTTGATAATTTGTCTTTTAAGTGAAAGAAGTTTCACCCATTTAAATCAAGACTTAACCTTTTAAGCTTTTGAATTTGTTTTAATAACTCTTCTTAATTTTATATCAAGATAGTTGTACTTTGAACAAAAAGAACTAGCTCCCTTTACCAGATTGATTTTTCTTATGACAAATTCAATATGTTAGTGCATATAATCTTAATTTTTAATTATTTTTACAGTATTTTTTTAATGTTTTTCAAAATTTAGAAATTGTTCAAACGCTACTTTTTTTTATAATTTTCTAAAATATATATAATTAAATCTATTATACTATTTAATTAATTATTATCTAAATATAAATAATAACAAAAACTTAATAAATTATATACTAACTTATAATTATT